AAAGGGCTTTGTTTCACTAAATTTCTATTAAATTCTTGTTATATGCTTTTAAATAGTAGAAGAAATGTTTTAGATAAAAGATGAGGCAATCCCAAATCTGTTGGGGGAGAGATTGAAGTGATTGCTTGTGAACCATCGATTAGTGCTGAATGTCCATCTCAAATTGCTCTACCACATCTCCATCCCTTGCTTTTATCTTTGAGCATTAAGCGTCTTTTCCGTCAAGCCTAACTTTGATCAAGAGTTCGCATTTGCATTTTTGCTGGAGGCTCATGGATGAAAAGGCACTCGCAGTCAGACACTCTATTGCGATCTTCACTGCCGAGGCAATAATTAAAAGTATGCTCGCGGCTGAGCCGTCCGTCAACTGCTAAGTTCATTACCAAATCGGCTTCAGCTTCCCGGAGCGGAGCACTCAGACACTCATACTCCCGCCTCAAGCAGGTCCTGTTTAATGTCCTTCTGCAAAAGGTTGTCGGCTGCTGCTAGACGGTGCTGACGGAGTTGCTGAACGATGTCCCGATGAGCGATGCCGCCGTCGGCTACCACTACCGACGCTAAGCGACCGCTGGCACTGGCTGTCGTACTGTTTTGTATGATATTCGTCCTTCTCTACATACTTATCACGTTCCCGCGATCTTTGGTATCGGAACTGTCGTCCACGACGCCCACAGCGCCGTCAACCTTGTCTACACTTGCTGATGAGGCCGTAAGGCTCATTGATGATCCGTACAGATTCGCTGGTCAGCCATTTCACAGACATCATATTCCTGACATTGTGCGACCTTCGCTCTATCAGATTCGGCTGAAACTCTATCTGCCATGGCGCCCGTGAGTATTTGCATATATTTCTATTTGTTGATAGATGTGTTTTGTTCTGCAAATCCTTTTTGGATTCAAGTTTCTAACAGCAAATTTGCTTGTTACGTTGTCTCCGCTAGCTATGAAATCTTCCAATATGATTTGTGTATAACTTTCCTGTAGTCCTTGAGTGCCTTGCTTGCATAGCTATATTCCCCGATGGTGTTCCGAATATTTTAAATATAATGCAGAAATATCTCTAGAAAATAGAGCAGATGTGTAGTACATTTATATCTGACACTTGCTAGACAAAATCCTTCACTT